TCAACATTATCATTTGTAAGCAATAAATACTCTACCATATATAAGATAACCGCTATTTATGCATCATGTTTACAATGATTTTTCTCAACAGAATTATATGTCAATACAGGGGGCGAAGCCCCCTATAAATTTATATCTAGTTGAAATAAAATCTCAACCGATCGATGATAATGTTCGTCTAGACATGTATGCATAACCGCCAATATTGAGTATGATTGCATAACTGGTAATCGCACAGACCCACATAAAATGTTGATGAGAAGAATCCTATTGCGTTCACAGTCCATCTAATATTATAAGTTTTTCAAACCAATAATAATAACGCATTGTATGCCCAGCAAGACCACGTTTTAGTACGCAATTTAAGAGAATATTTCCTGTACAGAAAAAACTCTTTTAAGCAATCGAACATGACATAGTCTTCAACTTCAAAGCAAGATTCAGATCGATATTTATTGACAAAGCAATGTTCCATAAAAAAAGTGCAAGTTTTGCAAAGTTTGAAAAGGGATAAAGTTTGTTTTCCCAGATGGGCAAGTACATGACAATGGACACGTGTACTTTTTCGCAGTAATACATGATACGGTGTAACTTTGCGGAAATACCAAATATGGTATGGGGTATAACAAGTCCGTTCTCGATGCTTTGAATAAATCGGATGAAGCATCCCTAGCAGATAATTTATTGTTTATTACAAAGCACGTGTATAAGTGATTGGTTAAAACACATCTTTTTTTGTACAAGTCATGAGCTAATATGATTCGGATAAACAGACAATTCCTTTATTTCCGGGTCTTGTGATTACTGGAAAATGTTCGGAGTATTTATTTGTTTGTACTTGAATCTATCAGGGGGAGAGCATACAGTTACGCCAAATCAATGCCTGACATTATAGTAAACAAATATATTGTAACATCGTACATTGTCGAATGTGATATGCAAAACTGCCATTATCATTTTCAACACATCAAGACGACTCATGCGGCATGTGCGCTTACAATACATACGGCAGGACCATCAATGGTGAATTGAATTTAATGTCGATTTGACAGTCGTGACAAGATAGTCCAAGCACCCTAACAGAATATGGATCCTGAAATTAATAATCAAAATCACAGCAGTTGTACATTACGAGCGAGCAATCTAAATCGTAAAGAAAAACCCTATTATCACCTCGAAACTGATATTTTTCCTCTACAGTATAAAGCCGTCCATAATCGTTAATAGAGACACACAATATAAGCGCTGATTACTGGCCACCCAACGTTTCGTCAATACTTTCATCTTTCAAAGTTTTTAAATCATGTACCGAGATCTTCTTACCCATCATTAACGTTCTGATGATGGTTTTACTCCATTGTCTGATTGTGAAAACTCCTTAAGAGCTTGTAAATCCCATACTACAGTTTTATAATCGACTCAGTTTGATTGGTAGAAACTGAATTGCCCAACAATCAGAATCAGGAGCAACTCTATGTATTTACTTGGTTTATCCGACTCTGCTGATTTCTTGATAGCATCTACCATCTGTACGTTTCGTTCATGTATTGCTTCCTTATTGGCTTCATAGTCTCTCTTTGTCTCGGGCGAAAATTTCTATGAGACGAATTACAATTCAGCGTTTATATTAGCGCTAGGCATAGCCATTCGAATGAATATATGCGTACCTTGTATACATCCTCTGGATTAGGTGTCGCTAGTTTCATAACAACGTACCCGATCCCAACAATGGTTGTTCCTGCGATTAGCGTTTGAATAATGCGCTTTGATGTCGACATTGCAAATTCTGGCAAAAAAGATGAGCGCAAATTAAAATGTCTTCTTTGTATGATCACATGTTTATTTAGACTCGTACTACATAAATTTGACACATCTTCTTATTTAGCTTGTCATACTGACATTCATTCAAATGCTCCCCTAATACAGTAATACGAACATACTTCGCCATACTTTGATCCACTGTTAAGTCCTTTCGGACTTTTAAAACATCAACCCTTTCTGATAATACGCAGTCATATAACATCTACTTTATTGTATGATCGATATCTTTAGCATACTCTTGTATTAAAAATGTCCAAATATCGCGCCATAGTGGATGAGGAAGCGATACTTCCCAGTAATAGCTCTCAAAGCAACAGTTTATCAATAGAACCCAGCACTCCGTTATTGTCCGACGCAAATGCAGACGAAGTACAAGTTGAAATCGAAGACGAGCCTGGTACTGCTTCTTCGGCCTCTTGCGTGGTGAGTTTCTGACCCCATGAATGTGTAGCGGAATTGAAGCAAAATCAACTATGGACAGTTTTCAGATGAGGTGAACGGTCAAGTGGGAATTGATAGATAAAACAACATGCCCATGAATATTAGATCATCATGGTTTAATAGCCAACTTAAATCTATTCCCTTTAATATTTTCGTCCACAGATAAATCTGGCAAATACGATACTTGGAACCGGGATGCTAGCCATGGTAAGCGAAATGAGGGGGGTACGATTATCCAGCTCTATTCAATTATTACTCACTCCCCCCACTCCGTCTACACCGGGTCGATACAGCCAGCAGCAGTAGCTTCAATTGGTGTGATCTTTGGTAGTCTAATGATAATCTATGCTGGTACCGCATCTGCGTTAGGATTATATTTCCTCTCCCGCGCGGCCGCCAAGACGGAAGGCCGTCACTCGTCCTTCTTTGCAGTCTCCAAACTCACGTATCCGTGGGCGGCCGTCTATTTCGACATGGCCATAGCTATAAAATGCTTTGGTGTCGGAACGTCGTATCTGATTATCATAGGTGAATTGATGCCGGAAGTAATCGCCGCTTCGTTTGGGAGCTCGGATGGGGAATACAACTTGTTTCTTGATCGTCGATTTTGGATTACAGTCTTTACGTTGATTGTTATTCCGTTGGCGTTCATGAAGAAGCTCGACTCTCTAAGATATACGAGTCTACTGGCCCTGACGACCGTTGTCTACTTGATCGTTATTGTTATATATAATTACTTTGGGCCTGATTTCAAGGCTCCGCCGAGTGATAAGATACATTACGTGCGGTTCTCGTCCAAGTTTTTTACATATTTGCCGATTTTTGTGTTTGCTTTTACTTGTCATCAGAATGTAAGTAATAAGGTGCAATGAGGGAGGGGTGGGATGATGCGGCGAGAGTATTGGTATAGATAACGTTAATGGACTTTTTTTTTTTGATAGGTCTTCACGATATACAATGAGGTGGGAGATAATAGCCAAGCGAACATTAACAAGATTGTCTTTGGAACTATTGGGTTCTCGGCGTCGGTCTATGAAATAATTGGTATATTGGGGTATTTGACCTTTGGTGACGATGTGTCAGCCAATATAATATCAATGTGTACGTATTTAAGTCTTGCCATCATTTGCGCATGTATACGTCATTTATTTACCATATATACTTACTCATATATAATCACATGCTCATGTCTACTACACATCATTTTTCGTTCGTTACCAAAAGACATCCCGACTACGTTTATTACTGTAGGCCGTGTCGGCTTTATATGCTGTGTTTTACTCTCGCTCCCGCTGCAATGGCATCCTTGCCGTGCTTGTCTGGACAAGATCATTTCCGCCCTTACCACGAACAATACCAACGGTGATTATAAATTGCTCACAACCAACAAACCGTCAGACTTGAAGTTTTTTTTGATGACTTCGGGAATTATGATTTCGACTTATTTGCTCGCTATTCTGGTTTCCCAGTTAGACTTGGTAAGAATAGAGAGTGGGGGAAAAAGGTGTGTTTATAGGATTCGTCAAGTAACACATGGACACAAATCTCACTTGTGACGACAATTATCTTTTATAGGTTCTCTCGTTTGTTGGGTCGACCGGATCAACCACGATTTCGTTCATTCTTCCCGGAATATTTTACTACAAATTGCATCAAGACGAGCCATGGGATAAAGAGAAAGTAACTGCAGTATGCTTGGCCAGTTACGGTTGCGTTGTTATGGTCGTATGTCTGACTATGAACATATTACGTGTTTCAGCTGGACACTGAGCGACTCGTGATTAATAACTAATAATTACTAATTGATATTGACATTAATGTTAATAGCAAAAGTGCTTGTCAAAGTACGCTTGCTCTTAATTTCCCGTGACACGGTTCAATTAGAGCTTATCTTTATTATGCGTAGTTAATAATATGTATAGAAAGATTGATATAATTAATAGAGATAACCAAGTAATGGTATTTATACTGTGTCAGTAATCATAGCTACATGGCTTTTTTCAGTGGGGTACGACATATACTCCTCTTTCAATGAATTAAAGCGGCATATTAATATTGTATGTGGTCTGGACTCCTATTATTAGACGCTGAATGTAGAGGTAGACACAATGTCTTTGAAAAACAATGTCGCACAAGATCTGCACCGACGACGACGACGACGACGACACAACGCGCGCGTAATTACGTTGATCTTTTCCGATTCTGACGCATGAGAAGTTGATTGACGTTCCCACAATGGTTGTGCATTATTGAATTTGGACTCGTGCAAGGAAATCTACACGCACAGATATTATGTTAGTTCAAAGAACCTGTATGTATGCCTTACGTATCAAATGACCTAGATCGAGACCAGGGCCCCATTTAGTAAATTTTTTAATATAAAGCATACAACCGAAGAATAGAAAGAAAAGAAAAAGAACATATCGAAAAAGTATGTGAATATTTTCAAATAAGACGGGATAAGATACGCTATGGTGTTCATTGATGTCATCTATACTGATTGTATGTTTTACCATCAAAAAGTGGCTATACAACGACGAACTTTGGGACTCTCAATCTATAAATTCGTCAACTGTGCATATACCAACCGCTAGATCAATGTCTTTTAGTATGTTATTGCCAGTTTTCTGAATTTATGTGATATACTCTGTACGCGCCTTATACTAAAGGCTGAATTTTCCGTCGCCTCTTGCAACCAAAATATATCAATTTCTTGTTCAAACTGATATCCGGGTCTTTCATCATAATCGTATCGTCCTCAACCCTGTCTGGCCAATTGATATCGCGATTCATAAAGCAAGGATATCCTTTTCGGCTACCCAGTCGAAATCAATTAATAGACCTTGCCAACGATTATTGCGATAGCGTACCATTATGTTAGTGTTACAAAAAGTCTTCAAAGGCTAAATTTTTCCATGAAGCATAGCCACTGCTATTTCGATATCTCCAAGAACCAGTTCGTATGACATTTTGTCGAGTTTTGCAAAAGCATTATGCCTTCTATATATTTTATTACAATCATGAAAATTCCTTGAACTCGACCGACATGAAAAGCTCTAGTGTCAGTTTTTTTTTTGCTAATAATCGATGTGTCTCTTCATTGTACTGTCGAGTAAACTTGACTACGAGGTTTTGATTAGCTTGGGTATTGGCCAACCAAACAAATTAGCCGCCGACTTGCAAATCCGGTGCACCCATCGCTCCCGAGCACGTTATCTCATTCGCAAGCTCTTTGGTATAGGTAAATTTCACAACTTGTTCAGTTGCATTTAAGTAACTCGCTCTTTATTCATAACAATGTGTTCTTTCCAAATCATTGTCTTTTGTTATACAAACCTTTGCTCAAGTCGATAGAATTTACATATTCACTGAATAATAATAATTTTTGTTTATAAATTTGCCAACACCATGAGTAACGAAAATTATTAACATTTTGAGATTCAGCAATAGTTACAAAGAACCACTGACATATTACTCGAAATATTACGATAAGTGTAATTTGCTGGAAGAAACTTTCGCTCAACGGCTACAAATGCGTATTACGATAACCCGAAAAAATCTCACGTACCAAAATTTTCTGAACTTATATGAACAACTTTTCAATTTTTTCTCAATTTTGCATTTGAATTTGGATTTGAAATTGAAGCAACAATTGATGTAAAAACAATGCCGTAACGCCGATTAAATTTATACATAATATTGTAATGTGTTTGACCAAGTCTTTATGTATCAAAATGATTATGTGCGGCAATTTATCAGATAAATGGCATTCGATAGTGTTAGATAAAGTTGAGTTGTTTATTGCGCGTATTAATAAATATTTGAGCACAATGTTTTTGACCAACTTTTTTGCTTAAGGTGACAAATCACGATGATATTACAGTTGTCATTGGGATAGGCTTCAATTTATTATTATAGTTTACATGCTGTATTATATTAATATAACCAAAACATTTTGTTGTGGTTAACAGGCTGTATACAGATTATTAGGTAGCACACGCATAATTTATTTCTCGGTCGCAGTCATTTACTATACGTAATCAGTGTAGCGTTGAGAATAAAATCTGGAACGACTAGAATACTCGGATAAATATTACAATACACGAATCGCGTGACAGTATACAGTTACTGTTAAATAATGAGCAGAAGCGACTCTCGAACATCTCAGTTTAATTGACAAACGACCATGCTAGGTATTCTCTCGCTAGCACATATTAAGCGTTATTTCAGGATAACATTACCTGTTAGGTAGGTAGTCGGGTTACTTTTTGAGTAAGTGAATAGTTAAATTAAATTCAAATTAAGTGCTATGTAATGATGTTTGTCGAATATTTGTAACCCAATCCACGTTTAAGTACAAACTCACGCGTCTTTTATAACACTTTTACGACGATACGCAATTAACGTCACTGAACATAGCCGCTACCCCAAAAAACTCCAAATATATTTTATTTTTTAAGCATTTAATTTGTAAAATATTTTTGACAATACTTTATTGTATCCTTGCCATGCAATTGTTCATCAAATTAATGCGCACAAGAGAATAATTACTTTGATAGATTAAAAACTCCGCTACTTGCTTAACAAAACTACGTTTATTGGCTTAATGGTTAATAAAAAAACGCTTTGTTATCAATTGTAAAGTACACTCTTTGTGTCAAATCATACTGATTTATGTGATAGAAAAACTTGATCAAAGCTTTGTAAATATATGAAACAATCTATTATAACAAAATACGATAAATAATATAGTCAGACCTTACAGTCACACATTTCCATAAAATCACATTAGATACTCACAGATGATATAATGAATGAAACAATAACAAACTTTAGTAAGACAGCAGTGTCAGGTGGGTATTATAGTGTTTGCGGATCAACGTTTTTGACAAGCTTATTTTACTTTGCGTAATATTTATTCGTAAAAATAGAAATATACCGATTATAATTGATGTCAGAAAAGTTAATAACACTAGATATTTATAAAAACTTACTGCTCACTCTAGTTTATACCCGAAACTCAATTGACACTTCATAACTATTTCTCGGTTTAGGCAAATCTCCAGTAGGTAAGAGTTTACTAGAGTATTTACTCTCCTTTTCGAAACGTGATAAGGATTTTACGTCAGCATGGTAGATAGTATGCCATGCGTTGTCATTAGAATTATCCTCGCCAATTTCTTTGATACGTATTATAAGCTTATTAATATCATTATAAAGTGCCCATCCATCTTTAAATCGCTTATCAGGATCAGCATCACAACACCGCTCGGCAAGTTTCTTGTATTCTTCTGGTGCGGAGTCAGGCATCCTTGGCCGTAGTCCACCCATAATATCGCATACTAAACTCCTATCAAATTTTCTATCTCTAAAAGGTGGTTCACCACTAGCAATCAGATACATTATAATTCCAAAAGAATATATGTCTGATTTTTGAGTAAATTTGTAAGTATGAAAGACTTCTGGTGCAATAAATGGTAAAACACCTTGAATGGTTGAATTGGACTCGTGTGAATTCACCGATCGTGAAAGACCAAGATCGCATATGTATGATCCTATCTCAGCATAACTATTCCTATGCATAACAATGTTTCCACCATGTAGATCACAGTGCGCTAAACCCACTTTATGAATATTCCTCAGATAATCTGCAATGTCCTTCAACCGCTCTAATTTATCCAACCACGTCAATTTGTTAATATTTTGACCCAAATAAGACAAAAGACTACCATTGTCAGCATATTGCATAACAATCATGTACTCTTGTGTTTCTGGGTCTTGTGTCACTCCATAAAGGGAAAGGAAGGAACCATAACCTGAACACTTAGCATGATTTCTGAACTATTAAATAAAATAAGTACAGCGGTCAAATTAAATACACAAAAACTTTAAGTAATACTATCAATTATTGCTTACCTCTGAAACAAATAATTCCGAAGTCTGGTCAAAATTCTTATTATTATATCGTTTGAGTACAACAATTTCCTTCATATTCCGTACTTCTAAATACTTTTTATACTTGGCAGTATAAACTGTTCCGTAGCCGCCAGCTCCGATCTCTTTGATTTCGCAAAAGTCGCTGTACTGCATGTACTTAACATGTTTGTTGTAAAGTTGCATAATACTGTCCAATATAGCACGAGTGTCATAGTAGAAAACTAAATAATATCTCCGAGTGGACGGTTCTTGAGTAATTCCAACCATCCAAATATTGTCGGGTGTTAACATCTTTGGGTATTCCAGAGTTAGCTATTTGAGTAAACAATACAATCAATAAACAATCAAAGCTTAATACTATTTGCATTATTTTTGCACGTGAAATAATTACCTGATGAAAATCATAATCAAGCGACTGGGCATCACTGATCTGCTTGAGTGTCACTTTTATCAATTTACTTATCGCTGGATCTAACCAATCCGTTATGCGTGTGCATCCATGGCGTAATGAGGTCATTTCTCGTACGTTCATCAATGCGGAATACTCTATCCATCGTATATACGCATCATATACATTCTTTGTATTACTCCACAATTCCATAATGAATGAATCCAATGACTTGTTACCCGTAGTCCAGTCAGGAGGTCGTGGTGCTTTACATTCATAACAGAATGCACTTATCATGGGTGTTAATTCCTTTGTACACGCCAGACATAATCCATATCCATACTTTTCTTTTATTAGATAGTACTTTTGTTCGCTTGCATTGTATGTGAATCCGATGGTAACCCAAACATCCGTGGTAAGAATATCAGGATGCTTATCACATAACTAGTGGAAATAATACATAATGATAATTATTATTTAAACTATTCAATAAACATGACGCACAAGTAAATAGTTTACCTCAGCATAATATAAATCATGTGTCTCGTCTGTTATCTCAAGTGGAATTAATTTAACTCGTGAATAAGGAGTAGGTAGACCATGCAAGTATACACCATATTCTCTCCCATCATAAATACTATCTATCATAATGATGTAAAACCCTTGTCACGGCTCGAGAAGGAGAGTAAATATTCTAGTATGCGTTTACCTACTGGAAATTTGTCCAAACCGAGAAATAGTTATGAAATGTCAATTGAGTTTCAGGTATGAGGCAGAGTGCAATACGTTGTGAGCAATAAATATCCAAGTGCTATTAACTTTTTTGACATCTGATATAATTTATTTCATATAAGCCGAAATATTACGCAAAGTAAAATAAGCTTGTCAAAAACGTTTATCTAATAGTTGCAAACACTAAATTTCTGTTACAAATGATCGTGTTCATCAACATATTTAGACGAGACGCAAAGTTTGTGATAAATTTCCATAATTTTTCGCAGAATATTGATAACAAATTTCTTCAGTTAAACATCGATAGTGATTGGGAAAGAGGGATACGGTGTAATCTGTGAGGGATGAACATAGTTAATTTGAGCAAATATAAGCTAAGCAAATGATTGTTGTGATACCACATTTATCAACGAGGAAAACGTACATCTTAGCAATTCTTGCGCGTCAGTGCCAAATCACGGCGAGTATTTATACCTTATAAACAACGTTACAAGAAATTGTCTTTCTGTCATAGATAGATAGGGGAGAAAAAAACTCCTCAGGGATCAATACGAACGCAGCAAAGCCGAACACTAGTTAACTTGTCGAAACTAACGTCTGGAAATATTCTGCGCACCTAGAGCGGCACTCATAACGATCACTTCCGTTTCTTCTCGTTTACGTTATTCCGCTCATTCTGGCTCTGTTCACCATCCCAAACAAAACGTCGGTGCATGAGCCTCATCGAGCATGAATGGACCCGACACGACTCACGCAGACGCTATAACTGACCTATCGAAACATGATCCTGTGTACAGAATCAACAAGCACAATATTATTAATACCAATAGTGTTATTATTATGGCCGCTTCTCAACATAAACATACTGCCGTCATTCTTGGCTGTGTAATAGCTGTTGCACCATATTTCGTAAAGCCAGCATCCAACAGGAATTCTGATTGATTTAATAAACCATTAGTATCAGTTAATTCTTCAAATCACAACCAGATGAGCAGGAACGATCTACCGATGGAAAATTTGGCCCACTTACGAGTGCATACTCGTTACTTATTTTGCAAAGACTATACTAATGGTTGGTCAGACAAAAGTGCCTAACAGGGTTTTTCCATATTAATATGTTCATATTGGTTGATAACGATTACTACTTTGTTCTGTAGCAAGTTCGATTTTTGATCGATTTTTTATTTTTCCAGAATGGTGCGTTAAAAATGTCTATTATTTGTGCGCCTTAAATGGCCAATTCTACAAGGGTAGTTACTCATCTCATGTTTTGCATTATGAAACCCCTGAAATGATCGATGGTAAATAAACGCCACTGGAATGATAGTATCAACTCTACATATTGAACGACCATCTAATCTGGGAAAATGATCTCTAATAGAACGAACACTTTAGCGACAGATTCAAAGGCAATGACGATTTCAACTATTAGATGATTACAGTAAATTATTTTTGCCAAACGATTCACGAGAAGAAGAAGGATTATACCAAATGGTGATTCTAAAACCTCACCGCGTGTTCTCTGTCTTCATTTCCTGGCCGGGGAACAGTTGCAGAAGCCGACCCGTACTGCTCTAGTGCATGCCATGCGCTACTATTATCAGTGACGTAATCACTAACTTGGCAACAAAGTCAACTTTCACTACGGCATCCATCACTTACTTGACATGGCTTCCTTTGCATTTACCGCGCTCTCAGCATCGTCAGGCGATGGATATGTCATGTCAAGGATCGATCAATCATTTACGGCTCGATAGTTCTCAATCGTCTCCCTCGAGTATGATAAGGGGAAAGCCATGGCATTTCGTATTATTATGCTATTCAGCAAGCCGTTTAGAATAGACGAGACAAAACAGGACGGACGTAACAGTTTTCTAGAGAGCTGGCATATTGATCCAGAGGTTAGACGCAGAGTTTTAGAAGATCACTTTCTATTAGATACTCACTGGCTGTAAGGAGAATACGCAAAGGATACCCGCACAGGAATTTAGGTAATCAAGGATGTGACGTTCGCTGCCGAATCTAACATGATTTTTCGACTGTTAGGGTTCTAACGGTATTGGTTCGTATGGGGAGAGAGAGGGCATGTTTATTTGATAATATCTCGTTTCTCTTTTGTAACGCTTCTCAGCATTTTACGAGTCCATATACAACAACAAAAGACGATGCAATTCTCAACAACCTTGATATTTAAAGACCCCGGAGGAAACAAGTCTTACATGAGCATCGGAATATGTCCTCAACATATTATTTGGATGCCTGACAGCGGGTAAGCACTTGCTGTTCTGTGCTTGTGCCTCCAAGTTGGAAACGTGCGAAGATGATCGTTAGTATCGTTCGACTTCTCGGGTCAAGTGGGAGAGCTCTATTGGTCTGATAGGTATTGCATGCTGTGTATGATAACGACGTGCGATAAGAGGCCCGATCGATTGTAACACAATTAAGGGTTGGGCACTTTAATATTTAACTTGAGAAATACGATTTTAATCCCAAACAACTATGTCGTTATTTGCTAATAATCCAGCTATTGCCAACTTGGTTGAACACTCCTTGGAAAGCGAAAATGAACAGTTAAGACTGGAATGGATTCCTTACGAAGAAATCACCAACGTAGCGCCTACTCAAATTGACAACGTTTACTACGCTGGTCGCTATTATTATTGTGGTGAAAATTATTATTCTACAATAACGCTGGTATTACTTGGAAGTGGCAAAGAATGCATACCAACACTTGGGAGTGAGTTTGCTAGAATATACTCGCTTCCAACACGCAAGTGCAACAACAATGACAATAACTTTAGACGATATAAGAAATGGCTTTATTATCGCAACGAACTCATTATTGGATTCACAAAGTCCAATGACGATAACTATTACATGGTTGCTCATAAAGTCTTTTACCATTATTATTCTCGATATGGCTTCTGCTCCACATGTGG